ACTTGTGAGTAAAAGAGAAAATTTGTGAAATATAACAATGAGTTCATACTTGACTGCCTCTTTCCATATTTCCACTAAAGATGATAACTTTCGAATTGTTGATCACATAACTTTCAAGCATACTTTACTGGGCCCTATGGAGTTAATTATTTGGCAATTTGGTTGAGATTTTAAATATTAAAACAAGCAAAGAGGACTATTTTATCAAAATAAAATGTCAAAGTCCTTCGACAACTTTCAAAGAAATGATAATATTTTTTATTAGCATGGGTTGGAAGACTAAATAGCAGTTAAAATAGAGATAAAAATTTGATTTTCATCCCTTTATGCATAATTTAATAAGTTATTTACTCAAAATGGTTTTGTATTTAGTCTTTATATGCTTTTCGTATTGTTAATTAATCTATCAGAAGGGATTCACCTCCTTGGACTGACGACAATCTGATGTCCAATCACCATTGTTCCAGGTCCACCAACTGTCGGAATTCTTTGTAATGCACCCATTGTCCAGATTTCTTCGATATCTCGGAGGCCAGCAGCAGCCAACTCCTTGCGATCTTTGTCCAGCAACCGAACCCATGGATGACCTTTGTATACACCAGCTTGGATTCGATGAAGGCCGGGAATAGCTAGTGTCCATCTGGTCCTTACCTGAAGTGTGCGTTGAGGGAGACGGCCATCAACATATCTGTGAAGATGGAAAATAAATTGCAATCCTTGTGCTAAATGAGTTCATCTCGTTGTAAATAATGTACAAACTTGATCAATTCACAACTCATAATTCATTCAATCTTAGAGTAAACAGTTATTATAATGCAAAATTGGATTAGTTACACAGTCACCCTAAAATTCTTAAGCTGATTTAGGAGTGATGGTAAAGATTGTGAAATAAGTTAACCGCGAAATTCCATAGAATTTCGTTCGACGTTTACTTTTCAAAATGTGTTCTAAAAATAGCATTTAAAGGAATTACGATAAAATATTCCAATAAAAAATATATATATGAAATAGATTGGTTATGATAATGACATTAGATTTCCTACTTCCCCATGAGTGCCCGGTTTCAACAATCTCACAAGCAAAATCACAAAACTATCGCCATCATAGGGAAATTTGGAGATCAAAATACCTGATAGTTGGGCCGTTTACAATGGAAAAAAATTAAGTGAATCGTTTTCAAACAACAACATGCAAATTGTAGCACACTAGAGTGCTGGAATATTTTGCGTCCTGGACTCGCTATAGTGTTAGAATTATGGTACCTAGACCAAAATGAACAAAGGATTGAGTCTAAGGACATGCGGACCAGACGTATATTGTTAGGTATGTGCAGCATACGTAAATTATTTCATATATAATGCGTTATGATCTGTATTTGCCGATAAAGAAAGAAGGAACATTCTGTCGA